CCGGGCGACCGCTGCCCCCCTGGGTTTTGCAGCACCCCCCCGCCCAGGCGAGAAGCCTGCAGAGCCCTGCGGGTGCCTGCGGCGCCTGCACGCCCTCAACTCTGGGGTGCCACAGGGCGCGGGGAAGCCCATCTCAGGCATGGGCAGGATTTGGCCCTAAGTGAGACATTCTGCACTCAGGAACATGTATTTACGTGTGCTGCACAGGCAGGGAAAACACTTAAAGCGCTTTGAAACGTGGCAGCGGCGAAACCCGTTCATTACCTAAGAGGCTTCACTCTGGCTGGTCTTAGTTTTCCTCAGCCCGTGCATTGATCCTGCTCCACTCATGCTGGCTATAAATCAGTGTTCATGTTGGTGCAGTCCCTGATCTGCACCACTGCGAGCAGGGGAGAATCAGGCACACAGTGAAAGGACAGAAACAAACTGGGCTGTGCTGGGGCTCAGCTCCAGCCCCGCACAGGAACAAAAACTTTGCAGACAGGCATTTTTCAGAGCCCTGGAAAGCAAAGGGATTCTGCTCTGGTTGAATGTGTCTTATCTTTCTTGTGAGCATGAATGGGGGAGAAAGTAACTGAGCTGTGTGCTGCTACTGCTGCGAGCCCCAGACGCAGTGGGAGCCTGGGGACATTTGCTGCTAAAATAAGTCCTTGTCCTGAGGACTGCAGCGTGCTGCCAGGAGAAAGCATCAGCTGCACATTAAAGGGCATGAAGGATTTCAATTTATCCAAAATGGCCCCAGTTGCATCTTGGAGTATTTTAAGATTTAAAAATAAAAACAAATTTGCAGTTTAAAAATGAGGCCTGGGATGTCTTCTTTCCTCCATGCTGCATAAAGCTCCAAATGTGCCATATGCAAAATGATTTGGAAGCAGCAGAAAGCCTGGGAGCTGCCGGCCTCCAGCCCAGCTCGCCGGATGAGATCTGGGGAGGGTGTTGATGGGTTCGGTCCCAACTGAAAGTATCACCCACCTCTTTTGCATCCAGAGGGCCGGACCTGCATTTCCCTGCATCCAAGGGTGCTGGGTGTGCAGGGTCAGGCCAGAGCCCCGACCGGTGCTGTGAGAGGCAGCTCCACCCTGGGCAGTGCAGGATTGATCCCGTCAGGATCAATGTCTGTTTGCTGCAGGGGTGAGCTGTGGGCTCTGTCTGCAACACAGGGACCCGCTGGCTCCGGTGGGCCACCCCCACCCCCAGGGAGGGGGCAGCCCTGTCCCCCCTCTCTGCCCCCGTGGTGAGCAGGCACTCGGGAGCCCCGCACCGTCTCTCGGTGTTCGCAGGGTTCGTGGTTTGGCTCTGGATATGCCCCGAGCCCTTGGCACTGGCACTGAGCACCCCCAGTGCCAGCGGCTTGGGGTCTTTGCCCTTTGCCCGCGTGCTGCTGATGGGTCTGTCCCTTCGCCCCAGCTACGACCGAGGGGCTTCGGTGGCCGGAGGGGTGGGGGGCGGGC